TGCATTATGAGCAAGAATGAACAGATGCACAAGGTTTAAATGCTTCAAAGTAACAGTAACAGTTACCTTTGCAAAGCTTTAGTGGAAAATATCCAGCTAGGTTTCTATACAACAATTCAAGTCAATCAGCTTATACAGTAATTAAAGATAATGCCTCCTGCACGTGTATATAAAGGAAATAGGTAAAACTACAAATTGATAAAACAATTTGTTGCAAAGTGAAACGCGAATACATCTAAAAGCAAACAATAGCTCAAAGTTATCAAAAAAGGTATAAAAATCTGACAGAAGTCAAAAGCCATAACTGTTTAAGCTGTATCTGTAATATATATATCACTGAAACAGTCACAGGTTAGCCAAAAGTCACAATGAACTACAAAAAATGACAAAAGAAAAATAATTGCTAAAATGCTAAAAACAAACAAACAAAAAAAGTTAAAGCTGTCACATACGGTAGAGCTTTGGCAAAAGGCCGAAGGTAAAAAGCATAAAATAGCTGAACATGGACAACTTTTTACCTAAAAGGTAGCTGCTAAGGTAGCAGGTGTAGCTCAAATAATGTAAAATGATATATAGTTAGCAAACAGTAGCTAAAATCTAACCAAAATAAAATATGTATTAACATAGCATTAAAATAAGAAATATCCATCCACTACACTAAAAGTGATCCATGCCACAAAATAACTTAACAGGGCAAAATAGCTATTACAGACTTTTCTTACATTTACACGTTAACAGGACTTACATTTACATTTATGCATTTAGCAGACACTTTTATCCAAAGTGACTTAGAAGAGGAGGATTAACAATCAAGCATGTGGTTCCTCTGGGAATCGAACCCAGAACTCCCTGGTCTACATGGTCTACTTTTACATTAGCCATGTACCAGAAAGTATTTCTTTCCCTTCCAAACCCAATAATTTACAGCAAATATTTGATAAAGTGTGTATATCAAATGACTTTTTCCTGGCAGCCAATATATTTTATAATACACACAGTCATAAATATCTGACAAAACATTTGGGCAAATTAAGAAGAATGTCCCTCTGTATCAAATGGTTGCAGAATACGTTGTATAAAGGGATATTTTCCACTCCTGGAACCAGTGGCCAAATGAAAATATTACTGAAAGGATCATTTTGTAACCTTTACTTTCCATTTATTAATGTTGTACTAACTGTTGATAGATGACTAAAACTATAAATCACTAAAAATTAAAAAACCCAAATCCCTCTATTATGGTTTATTCAACTCTTCTTTCATTGCTGCCCAGTCTAATGCCTGATCTCAATACAATGCGTTTCGGCTATGTGGCAAAACAAACAAACACAGAAAAGATAATAAACTGCAATTCATTTTTAATGTTGTGTTTGTAGCTACACAACATGCTAGTTAGACAACCAGTGACAGAGCAAACAATGAGCAAAGGCCGCCTAACACCCTGGAGAGTTTGCCAGTCCAAAGGAGGGCAACACATCTCATAAAATGTTACCCTGCCCTAAGATATAAGGCAAACATCCATTCACACTCATGTCTATTGTCAATGCAGAGTAAACAGTTGACAGTTAATACTGGATATTTTGTATCCAGTATGGGAGGACGCCCACCTAAACTGCCACAACATGTAAACTCTACAGAGAAAGACCATCAATTCCTAGGGCGCAGTATTGCGGCTCGTCATTCAAATGTCGCACGTATATTTCAATGACATTGTGTCACATCTAACCTTGCATTAGTAGACATGCTAACAGCCCGCCCACTTTCCAAACAACTGAAAGCTGTGATCAGTACATTTACTGAGAACAATCCAATTCATGTAAAATACACAATGGGTTTCTTTTATTGGCTGCAAGATGCCCTGCAGTTGTCACATTCAGTGCTTTAGAAAACACTGTACCCAATTACCCAGTGAAACGCTGGAGCTTACTGATGTGTTTTTAATAACTGCTGGATAGTAATGGAACCCATACCAAATATTTTTCCTGCTGGGATTAATCCATTACTTGCTTTGGTCTCCTCCTGGGAATGGTTGGTACTAGGGATGCTGTTTTCCAGATTTTGGTGTTTATTCATTATTGGTTTGACTTTGTAAACAACAGTAAACAGCCTTTAAGGATGCCCTCTCCAATGGGGTGTTTCCCAGATGGATTAACGTTTCAGTGCAAGTCCAGATGGAAGTGTTTTAGTAGCACTGTGTTTTATTCTGTAAAATGTGTTATGGTATTTACAACAAACATTGTCCATATGCTAATATAAATCTAACTCTGACTGGTTACTTCAGCTGTAAACAGGAAAGCCACAGAGAAATACTACAGTTGTGTCATGGAACACAGAAGTTGTTGCTGTTGCTGCCTCCGTCAGTCTCTTCAAATGTGTTATTTTATTACGTCAGCGGTTTAAATCATTTGTTATGATTTGAAAGCAGAACTCCCAGCCCCTTAAAATTTTATTTTTCTATTTCCCAAAGAAGAATTTGGTGTTGGAGAGTTGGAGAGAGAAAGGAAACCAATAAAGGCTGAGGGCTGTCTATCAGTGGTCAGCATAACATAAATAAACGTAAGTAGATTTGAATAGGTGAGATAAGCTCTTTATATAGGAGTCTTATTTTTGGTGATAGGACTCTAAGCCACTTTAACTTTTTAATCTGGAATTTTAATAGTGATATTTTGCATATCCTTGCAAGGTAATTATCGATTCACTTTTTCTAAAGCGCCCCCTGTTGTTCATACTTTCAGCCTTTTGTCAAAACTCCCCACATCAGCACATTCACTATTATCAACTATTATATAACTGCTAATAAACAAAGATATGCCACTGGCCATCCCCCCTCCACCCCCCATCCCATTAGCAATAGCTCAGTCCTCACTTTGGGAGCCACGGACCAATGCTAATTAAACAGCAAATTTAACAGTTAGCAGACTATTACGTCACTTATACTTAAAGAGTTAAGAGCAAAACTTAAAGAGCAAAACATTTGATTTCTAACCGAACATATCACTCGCCTAATGCATAAATGCCTGTACATGACAAGCACATCCTGTTCAGACTGACACAACCGACCAAACCACAATCAACAAAATAAGTTCCAGAGACAAAAATACATTAAGCTGTATACAGAAAAGATGTATTCTACAGTTTAAACTTTTGTAAAAGTGACAATCCAGGCTGTAGGAATACACAGTATAATTATACAAATAATTATTGGTTAAGGTTTCCATTGTAGGGTTAAAAATACACAAAGTGATTCACTGCCTCCCCAAAGTTCTGACACTGGAAGCTGTGCGATGGGTATGTTTTGCTAAGGAAGTAAAACGTTTGGTGTAATAAAGGTTGAGTTACTGGAAAGACTCCATCACCAGAAACAGGGTCTGGAGTTCAAACCCAACTGTCTGGCAAACGCTGCTGCAGGTACAACCTGAGTCTGGCTGTTTCAAATCCTCTTTCTTAGAGCCTGGAAAGTATTTTAATGTGAAACACAGAGATTGTTTGGAGAAAAAAAGAGACATTTAGAACTAGAACTTCCTTCTCCTCCAGACCCAATTAGGTGTTGGCCTGTTTCTGTCAGGAGGGTTTTGAGCACCCTTCCGAGGTCTTTTAACACTCACAGCACACCTCAGCTCAACAACAAACCGAAATCGATCTCTTAAGACTATTTAATGCGTAAAATTGTCTCGTCTTTCATTACAGTCATAATGTGAGCGTTTCATGAAATAAATGCTTCTGGTGAATTACAGTAAAATATGCTCATTTGTATCTAATTAAATACAATCAGGCATCAGCATGGTCATTACAGAGCTGGACCCTTCTGCTGCTGCTGCCATGGAGAACATCTGCCACACAATGTCAGGTTATCTGCAGTTCATGACTCTTATCCCACTGGCTGTGAAAGACCCTCAGGTGTTTATTCGTTCACTCTTGTGCTGAAGCTGTTGCACACGTTTCCCAGACATCAGTATTTCCCCCTATAATCTCTAATAGTTTTCACCTGTGTTTTACTCTAATACCGGAGCGACAGGTAGCAATGGTCGTGCCAGTGTATATCTTGACATGTGACTGGGCTTGATGTGACCATTAACCACGTCTCAACACACAGAGTCCTGAAGTCAACTCGGAATGTTACACAGTACAAGGAGGATCATGGGATATTTACTTCATCATTGCACAAGAAACTTCAAAGTGTTGGTGTGGACAAATTTACGTTGGAGAAAATCGTACACAACACAGCAGTGATCACAGAAGGCTATATGACAGTGACCAAACACTTTAGCTCAACTGGTCACTTTACCAAGATGACCCTAAAGGTGCCCTTCAAGTGCCTGTCCACAATCATCCCAAATCCATTTGTATATAAACAAATATCAGGTGAACATGAATAAAAACATAAAATAAAATGGAGTTAATTAATCCATAAGAACACAATGGGCCCCACATACATGTATAACTATGAAAAATATTTTTACTCATATATGACCTGGGTCAAACACCTTTTCTGTGTTGACATCTGGGGCTTTATACTGTATATTCTATACCTGTATTCTCTGAAACCAGGATATGCAAAGTGTATTATTTTTGGATTCTGGTTGAGAGGTCAACATTTTAGAAAGAGATTGACTAAACAAAGCAGGTGCCAGTGTCCAGTGAATCAGTCTTTGTTGCTGTCACCACTCAGACTCTGAAAATACACACGACAATGGATGAGTGTGACAGTCTTTTATGTCTAATCCTAACATTAACCCTGTTGTCGGTTCCACTGATTCCACTGTTAGAATCACTGTTGTGTTGTCATGTTGCTGTCAACACTCTCTCCTGTTTCTTCTTACAGCAAATTAGTTTTTGTTTTTCTGCAACAGTTGACTTCTTAAACTTGGACACTGGAGTTAAACCTGCACTGTATTAAAAGAAAACCGTTCTCCAAAAAGACCCTGCAGATCATTGAACAGTAAATGGTAACATACCTGCAGCAGGGACAGGACAACACAATGCAACACAACAGGACACACCATAGTCTTCAGAGCAAACACTAACCCATGTCTTAAATCGTGGAACATAAACATTAAAGTGTCAGGAAAAAAGAGTTCTGACTGTTATTTGTAGCTAATGGGCTGAACATGCCAAATCACTGGGGAGTCATTTGTTTCAGCTGACGACAGAATTAATTACAACTTAAATACCACTGCCCTCAGCTGTGGTTTTTCACTGCATGAGGTAAAATAGCCCAAATATTTACTCTTTGTCCTTTAAAGGCCTTCTGGGGCTCCTAAACTTTCTTTGTTTTATAATAACGGCTCTGATCCTTCAAATTATTCAGCGGGTAAGTAGACTTCACTGAGATGTTGTTGGTCTGAAGCTGCAGAGCGGTGATGATGTGTTATAATTTCATGTTCCATATGTCATGTTTATGATAAGTCCCAGTTCTTAACACAGCTTCTATTATGCAACGTCCCTTTTATGCAGAGTAGAAAATACACAAACCCCTTGAAGTCTGTGTGAATGAGGTTTTGTCGTCAAAGTTCAATGGAAACACAGCAAACAACCACAAAACAGCGGCTCATGATTCCTTAAGACAGGAAATATTTTTTATTGGTAAAAAAAAAAATTGTTTGGAACTTTTTTCATTGATTTTTTATGAAATGCTTTGGGTCTTTTGGCTAATGTTTGGCTAAAAAAATCAATTGTTAAAAACTAATTTTCTGATATTTTTTGCGATTCTGTCTATTTTCTCTAGCTTTACACAGCTTTTACTAATTTATTTGGAAACACTTTCATACACATTTGCTCAATTTTAATTCAACTATCTTTACTCGTTATTATCTTTGACTTTGTTAAAAAAATGCATGTGGCTTTAAAGGGTCTTCAATAAAGATTTTTACATTTTACACTATAAAAATTGTTTAGAAGCTGTATTTGTTGTTGCTCTGTAGGTTTTAGTAGTGGTATAGTTTCCCTTGATTTGTCATTGCTATTTATTCAGTCTCTGTAACCTCTGACCTCATCTTTAATTGTCCTGAGGTTAAAGTATTCCACTCAATTTTTCTGTATTATTTTGGATAATGTGAAGCAATTCTGACTAACATTTTTTCTTAGCATTTGTAAAACAATTAACCATCTTGTCTAAAATGTTTTTTAATGGCTGACACGTCTTTAGTAAATTGGCTTTAAACTTTAAACTTATTTTTAACCACATTTTGAGGATAACATGTCTAATCATAGACAACTGTAAACAGTCTGGAAATTAATGGGAAAAATCTTTGAACAACAACATGCCCTACATGGAAAAGTACAGCTTTTTTAGTGAACTATGCCTCTGTGAACAAACATGCAGACAGAGGAACTGTAGTTTCCATTTGACATTTATAATCAATGGGCTACATGATAATGACAGAAATGGCCCTCAGCCAGGTGGCATTAGAGAACTCTGCCTCATTTTCTTTTGCCTTCTATGTGCAGCTTCTAAGGACATGGAGTATTTTAACCTATGACGATATGCGGCAGTGTCTCCACTGATTGGATCCATCACTTCCAGACCTCAGTGTGTCTCCAATGTGTGCTGTTAGAAGGAAATTATGAACAAATCCTACTTTTCTCCAACCTGCTGAAATAATATTTTGAGAATGAAACACTTTGTTAGAGCCCTGCAATCACTCAACTGCAGCCTGTGACAAGAAGGTAACACGAACTCTTAAAAAATATTCGCCTTTTTTAGATAAATGAGCCATGATGTTTTGTAAAAGAGCATCTGTTCAAATGTTACATTTTTATCTTATTTTATCTTATCTCTTTATTTTTATCACACTTTATGTTTCTGCTGTTTCCTCTCCCCAAAAGTCAAATAATTGTGGACAAGGTTGGTTCAATATCTGACACAACACCATGGTCCACGTAGTGTGCAGCTGAGTAAAACTGATCTACAATTCTGAACAAATACAACAGACACTGTTGATGTTTCTGATCTCAGTTGACCAGGAACAGTATGTCTATAAATGATGGTCACACAGCCACCCTATTCACAGTGCCTGTAGAAAACAAATATGGGAACCTGTGTAATATATGGATACCTTAGTACTTGAATTCACAAATGTGTAGCCTGGTACAAATTGTGAAATAAAAAAAATAAAAAATAAAAAATTACATAATGGACATGAATGATGGGAGGACTTTGAAAAGACTTTGATATTCCCTCAGGGCCTTCAGCGCAGTTTTTCCTGTCAGTTGAAACTTGTCAAAGAACTGAAATTGCATTCATTACGGGGACTTACAAAGTCTTAAATTTAACTTCTTAAACTTGTTGAAACAATTATTTTGTGGAACACGTGAAAAAATATTACTCCCGGTTTAAAACTTCATAAATTACACCCAAGTTGTAATAAATCTGCACTTCCATTCTAAGTATCCCACACTCTATTTTCCTTTTCGTCCCATTACTGCCTTCTAACGAAGTTCCATTGAAAAGAAAAAAAAAATCTTCTCACCGAAGATTCCTGAAAAAAACTTCCCCTCTTGATTCCGGGAGTTTGTTGAGGCCAGGTTTGAGGAATTTTGAATGTAAAGTCTTTTTTAAGAGTTTAACCCATCAGAAATTTTGCCTCTTGCTTCTTCAGTTTCACACTGAGCTCATTTATCTCTAACTCCTGTTGTTTCTGGACTTAACACTCCTATTCTTCTGTCTCTTCTTCTTCGGTTCCATCAATCTGTCATCTGCCGGAGATGGTGCCAGCACGTGGCGCAGGAACCGGCTCTACTGCTGCGCCAACCTTCCACTGTTTGACATGAAGACAAATAGATGAAGCTGTGCACCTGTTGAGCATTATGTGCATCCCCTGTGAGGTCAAACAAGGACTGCTGTGTGTCCAAATGTGCCTTCCACTTTGCCATCACTCACACATGGATTTATTTTGGTCCGCTTCCAGGTGAATTCCACGTTCTCCATACTTTTGACAGATAAATGTTGGACTAGAAGAATCATTTCTTGTAAACTCTGCCATTTGTGAAGTGTGACTTTGCGATGATATAGTAATGGGAGGTGGTCATTTTTCTTTAGCTCACTGGCATCCAGTTTGCCTTCACCCAACCATTTAGGCTGCACCAAATATGTCTTCCTCAAGTCTGTCTTCCAGAGCCTGTCTTGGTTTTTATCCTGCGGTTTATTTGTCTTCATCTCTCAGGAACAAAGATTAAGTTGAAAGCAAAGATGGGTTTAGTGCAATTACATCACCAAGCCACAAAAACAGATCAATCAGAGATTTTGTCCCCCCACTTTTTTTCCCTGTCTGTATCTTTGCCAATCACTGAAGTGCTTTCTAAGAAGAAATTCTGCAGCTGTAAAGTGACAGACCTTACGATATATCGTCAGTAGTTTACACAGAGAGAGGCTACAGTTAGAGCAGGATACAGTTGAGTTGGACTACTGTCCTTGTCACAATATAAAAGTCAATTATCATATTTATTTTAAAGGTTAATTCGTTGTGTCTTTGTTTTGCCTTGACAAATGTATACCTGCCATGTTAGAAGTTAGAACAGTTTGGTGAGTGCCCAAAACTTAATCGTTGTTATATAATGTCACGCTACTTTTACTAACACTGGGCCAGATCCTGTTAAGCAGCAAGCTAGTAGCTAACTGTGTGCTAATATAGGATTTTGTAATTATTTGGTGATCTAGTGTTTGCATTTATTGTATAATTTGGCTGAAATATAAAACCCTGTTTTAACTCTGAATGCACCAACCAAGTCAATCTACAAAAAGAAGGTTGAAGCCCAAGTCTCCATTGTGAAGTGCTGTTCCTGGTACGCAGACTTAATGAAGTAGGCCGACATTCTAACTCTATACTAATTTTCAGGACTTGACAGGACTTGACTTGACTATTTCAGCCATATGTCTTCCAACAGACCAACATTATATTTTAATCTTCTATGTCACGCAAGCACAGCACAAGTCAATGTAATGTGTCTTCCAAAGATTCTTCCTGGATGAGTCAACAGATACTTCACCTGTTTACTGCTGTCATCTCACAGTGTTTGATTTAGTTCTAGAGACAAAACAGAAAGTTAACTCTGACAATAACACCGCTGATGAAGTGCAGGTAAGGAATGGAGCGTGCAGACGTGTACAGTGTACAAACACTTCTAAACAATTTATCCACTGGCTTTTAAAGCACCCCCTGTGTTTGGGTCACTGCGTGTGCACACAGAGCCAGCGTTCCGCCATAAAACACCGTTACATGAAAATGTCTGCACTTTCAAACTAAACCTGATGCCGGAGTTTTCCACAAACAGCAGAAGTGAGTGGTTCTCAGCATCAGTGACTGTAAATGACTTTAGCATAGAGCAGCTCTGACGTGTGAGACTGGTCATAATTGTGCCCTCTGTTCCAGGTTAGCGTTTGAATACAGGAGTATGGTTATGATGAATAAGGTCCAGATTTTCAAATACTGTACACATGGTGGCGTCAGTCAGCTTCAAGACGTGAGGCTGATTCAAAAAGTTCAAAATGTGTCAAATCCCGTAAATGGTGCCGTTGACTGAAGTACATCAGGTACAAGAGCAAGTCAAAAATTAGATGAAGGACCTGTAACAAAGCTTTAATAATTCAGCCAGCTTTCCATCCTAGACAAGTATAACTGGGCTTCCAGCTAGTCATTAAAATCACACTCATTCTGCTAGTCATCCTTTCAATCTTTTTTCTTTTTTTAACAAATGGCTTCATTTACTTTATCGACAATCCTGGCAGCTCCATCTGAAAACTTTGATTCAACTATCTGTCTGTCCCAACCAGGCCACTCTCATCTGACCTTCAATGCTCTTCAGGTATCTGCTAAAACACCATACACAAATAGGAACCTTGGTGGACTGTTAGCTAATCACAAAACACAATGACCCTTTATGCTATTCTACTGATTGGCAGGGATGTGGTAAAGCTAAGCCTAAATATGCAGTAACTGCTTCAGATAAATGATAAATGATTAATCCCCTGAATATTTCCATCAAACGTAGAGTAGAGCAGAAAGTCTTTCTGTAAGTTCCACGGTTCAACTCCTGTGGTCTACATAGTACACTGGACCTTTGTTGACATTAAAAAAAAACAAATTACTCTTGGTCAGCTGGGCCTGCAGTATGTGAAATGGTGTGAATAATGGGTGATTAATGTGTGAACAGTAAAACAAAATCTACTATTGGTGTAGAGTAGCATTTATAGAAAGCTATATGAATCCAACTTTTTTTCACTTTTCGGTGCCAACCCCCATAATGAATGACATGATTGACAAAGAGAGGTCAAAGTGCACGTGGACAACATTTGCACCGACAAGGTTGCAGTAGCATAAAACAAAGTGTGTAAAAATATTCACTTATACGATGCCGACATCTGTATGTTTTTCTTTTTGTTGCCGTATCAGAGTCAGATTTGAGGAGCTGTCAGCTCTAAGCTGCAGCTCTAATCCTCCCATGTAATGTGGTTATCTATCTTTCAGATGGAGGATTCATTCTGACATCACTCAAACACACATCAAGTATTCAGACTTGCTCACACATACCCATGCACACAACACACACACGGTCACACAAAATGAGAAACACATTGAGCTTTTGGTTGCTCCCTTCTGCCGCTGAGACAAATTTAGAGTGGATGAATTATATTGGTCTTTTCCCTCTGTCCCTCTAACTTCTCCCGCCCGGTCCTCTTTGCTGTTGTCCTTCATAGCTTTTAAAAAGGAAGATTTACTGTTTGCCACATGGCAGCTGGCAACACAACTCTACAGTTTTTTAAACATCTTTGTACTATTGTCTCACTTTCTCAAAGAAATCTGGTCAAAGGCTGTCGTAAAGTGAGCCTGTGGAACATACCAATCAAGAATAACCTGTTCTAAAGGTTTTTAACTTTAAAACTAGAGTTTTTCTCACGTTTGTCTCAAGAACAAAAGTCTGGGTGTTAATGGCAATACGGTTTCAAAAGGTTTTTTCCTAGGTCTTTATAGTTGCTTGGCTTAAGTACATTTTTTGCTATTTAAGGATATTTTTTTAGGATTGACTAACTTTTAGGTTTTTTTTTAATCTTTTGCCTCAATTTATATTCTATGCTGGAATTTTAAATTTTGTGGGCTAGCACCAAACACAACATGGTTGATCTTCGTGATAATTCTTTGATGTAAAAGCAGCAACTCTTACATGAGTTATGTAACATGAAATGTCATGACAACTGTCCAAATGATGGATGCTTAAGTCTGATTACATTAGCTATTACCCTAAAACAGTGCAGTAATCACTATGTAGGTATCACAGGAGGAGCCCTTTGGGGATTTTTACAGTGGAGAAACCACCTCCTCTCATCCTTCCCACCTCTTGAAAAGTATTTGGACAGCCTTCCTTTTCTGTGTGGGAGTGAAGTTAAACATTGTGTACTCGTAGAGCAAAACCCCCCAAGACTGTTACAGTAATCAGGAATAACGTCATAGACAGAGAGAGGATCCAGGCACTGCTGGGATTTCTATAATTTATGGTTTAATAATATTATTAGCAGCGTGACAGGTGGGATCTGATCTACAGAATCTATGCATATTCAACATGTGCATTTGTGCACACGTTCTGGTGAAACGGTATGAGGCCTTGAACCCTGGAAGACAGTGTGAATATTTCTCAGAGTATTCCATACATCATATTTTCCACTTTTCCAACACAGAATGCAGAGTGCAGCCCAATTTTACCTGGCAGGAAAATCAGACTTTCCTGCACTGCCACACATCTTGACAGAAGCAGAATGAAATTACGAAGACGAAGAAAAAGGTATTTTTTCAGCGAGCGTGTCATTCTAGAGGTTACAGTATAGAAACGTGGTGAAATATGAATAGCAAGGAAATCGTCACAGTTTCCATGGATTTCTGTGGTGGGGACTAACGAAGAATACACAAGGTATGAATTGGTGTCCTTTATCGTCAATGTTGGGTTTTTTTGTCCTAAACTGCATAGACCTGGTGTGGAACACTGTAACTCAATAAGGCACTCCATTCATGGCATGAGCATATTGGAAAAAGTGAGTAAAAAAAGAAATCTAAATTATTGTCTTTTTCCATTCTCAAAATCACAACCAGCCCAAGTGAGGAAACTTGCACACATGACTGAGCTGTGAAGGACCTTCTACTCTTGGCTTCAGCTGCAAACGTTTTCCAATCGCACTAACGCTCCTGGAAGGAAGAAATAATTGAAAAAAGAGTTGTGATCTTTGAACAGTTTTTAACATTTTCAGATTTTGTGGAACTGTGGGGTCTTGGCTGAGTGATTTTCCACCTGAGTAAAGGTGATTCCTCTTCAGGGAGGGTAATGGCCAGAGGCCCACATGAGAAGAAGCAGAATATACAGCCCTATGGTAACCGATGCGTACACAAAGACATGTGTGACTGCATTTATAGCACGTACCATGATACAGTTTTTGGCGACTTGGTGCATGCTGGCAGATAAAGCTGGAGGTGCGTAAAAAAACACTAAAAAGAAAGAAGGGGAATGTGACAAATCTGTGATGGCAAAAGCAGAACAAGGACTTGCCTGCCCTAACCCGTCATGTCCTCAAACCCTTGTGTGTTCCCCTAACCCCAGAGGAATAAAAGAGAAGCCGTGAGAGGAATCTGGTGACAAAAACAGGATAAATGAAAGCAGAAGATGACACTTTGATTAACGTCAAAGTGAAAGACTTCAAATTTAATAAGTTCCAAACGGTTTTGATTCTTCTTGGCGCAGCTGATACGCTTATTTTAAGATGCCACGGAAACTTTTGCGTCGCCATTATTGACACATTACCCTGCCCACACAGAAAAGAGTAAAATAAGGCTGCAATCTGGTCAGAGTTAGTACCACATCAGATGTTGGCTGATATCATCTAATTGCAGATGTTTTAACATGGCTGTAAGTTGACCGTTAATAACAACATTCCCACAAGAAATATTGCCAAAGCCTGATTCACTGATTTCATGAATGATGACCAAAAAAGTCAGGTGCAGGGTGGTTCTGGAACCAAAAGGTACCAGACAGCCTGCTGAGAAAAAGTGTCTGTTCCAGACCTTTAACCTACAACATTTAGGTGCCATGTACAGTTGCTGGTTTGAATTGAGATGCTCATCAAGGTGGATGTAACACCTGGATGTACTGAATAAATGGCATTGGTCTACACGCCTGCTCATTCTTCCCACTGCACTTCATAGGTGAATACATCTGTTAATGGTTTTAAACAAACTGGGTTTTTCAAGTCATCTTCAGCGTTTCTCCGGACCGTTCCATTTGCCAGACATAAGGTTCTAGCATCCAATAATGTTGTTATTGGTCTCTCTTGTATCCTCGCTGCTTGATGTTTTCATGCAATGCTGATTTGTGGTGTCTTCTAGTCCTTTACTAGGGAAACACTGATTCTGTTCCACGTCTTTCACTAACTGGGGATGTTTCTCTCCCTTTCTGTGCATTAGCAAAGTTATTCTTTCACAAAAGCTCCTGACTTGAAGATTCCAACATGTATTTAAAAAAATAAATCCTGGAGATTATTTCATTGTCATCAAATAAACAAACTATTTTAAGTTATAAATAATATCCATTTTGGTCATTTTTGTCTTGCTTAATCTGCTTCTAATTATCCTTGCATGCTTGTATTCCTATACCAAAAGACATTATTCAACCTAGCAGGTAAAAACCAAGAACATTATGCATGGCAGGCAACAAATGCATCTAGATGATTTTTGGCTTCTAAGCACAGGTGGTGCAACTTCTAAACAAAGTTCCATTCCAGTATTTGCTCACTGTAAATGTGTTTTTGTTGTGCTATGTCACTTTGACATCCTAAAGCAACTTTGCAGTTCAGACCTGGTCCACATGCATGTAGGAGAATTGGAACATTGCTTTTCAAAGCTGCTTTTTTATTAGGGGAACATAAACTTTCAGCTGTAGGCCCTTGATCAGGCAAGTCTTTTTCCTTTGCAAACTGAAATACCCATAACGTGCAGATGGAGTGATGGATCATCTCAGGGTGCCAGAAGACAAAAAGTAGAATGATCGAAATACATGTTCCATAAAAATGTTTCATGCTACACAAGCACCAGAAAATATTCTTTATAAATCTGTTCATGATTGTTTTTTGATTTGGAAAATAACAAACTGCAATAAAATTGATTTATTGGAGTGGAAATCAAAGTGGACGTTTGGCTGTTATGGATGTTGTTTCCTGCCGCAACTTGACACAAGCATGGGCACTGCATGTAAGAAAAATAAATCTACCCACTTAGAGAAAGCGGGGGAGTGGCACAGCGGCTTTCAGGGTGTCAAACTTCATAAAACAAATTAGGTCAGTTGGCGAATTGCAGGCTAATTATGTTTACATGTACAGTCTACCACTGATACAAACCAGACTGCATTCCACAAAAGGAGGGATGAAAGAGTGAGGTGGAGGAAAAGAAGGAGGTGACAGCATAGTCACAACAGTGGTGACAAGGAGATGGTGCAGAGGAAAACTACCGACAAGAAAAAGTGAAAGAGAGAAATTAAATAAACATGTTTTCTTTTATTACTATGCACATGTATCTACAAACCTCTCAGACATAGCTGTAATAAGAGGGAGCACTAGTAGTATACTTCTCTAGAGTTAGAGAAGTATACTACTAGTCTTCCCTCTTACATCAACCAGAAACGGAAGAAGTTCCTCTGTTGAGGAACAAAACGTCTTTCAAACTCCAAGAACAAGTCAAGTTGTTTACAACTAAACTCTTTGGCACTATAAAGACTACTGGCTGTCCTCTTCCCCATATAGAACACGTTTAGATTACTCTCCAAAGCCACCAAATCACTGTTCTCACCCTGGTCACTCACTGTTTCAACTCATTCCCTAAGACGTCACAGTTATCTGAAAATAAGGATTCAAAGACACAACAAACAGAACAGCTGCTATCCTAAGGCAATAACGGCATTACCATAGATTAAAGATGCTTAAATTATATAAAACTGCATGCACAAAACTTTTATCTATGTAAATACTATTAATAATCCAAGTGTTTAAGCGTGGTTAATGTGTCTGATGGACATAGTATGCATGGATGCAGAGCAGGTATACAGAATGAATGGAGAAAAACAGATGAAGCATGGATGGTATTTTAATTTTTGAAATTATTAATTTATTTTTATGAGAGTGATGTGTGCAACAAGGCACCTTTCCATTCCAATATGTCAATGCAATGACAACTACAGCATTCTATTCTATTTCTCCCTGTATATTTCTTATCTACTCGAACTTATCTGCCACGTTTTCCCTCATTCCTGTGCTCATATGAATCAACAACTCCTTTCAGCAAAACAGTCAAAGTCAGAGTAGTTATACCCCAGGCTCTTTTATCATTTTCCTTGTGTGCACTTGATGACTCATCTGTGTTTAATGTCTTTTGGCCTGTTGGAGGCTGGGGTTCCACCACCACAATCTGCTCAGGGACTTCCTCTTGGAGGCCCTCCTCCTCCCCCTGCTCTGGTGCACACCATTTCCTGTCTCATTTGATGACACGTGGGATATTATCAAGGACTGGAAGCTGGACAGGTTGGAAATCATGCACTGAAACACACATGTGTGAGAGGACATGTTTGTGAGCTTTTCACAAACACAGTCCTCTTGTCTCCAGACCCAGCTTGGGCGCAGAGTCCTGGTACACCAGGATTAAAACTGGCCTGACGAAACACACAAATGAACAGATGCAGAGACTAAATTAGCTTTCCGTAAACACCGATATGCTGCAAGTTCCACTTCAAAACAACCTCTCGGTGCCGTGTTGTCGCTGTGAGTTTTATGACGCACCAGATGGATTTGTCTGAATTTTTGACACATTGCAGAATCGTATATTTTTACCGTGTGGTCTGTGGTACTCGTTATGGTAAAGTCTTTCCTGCCCATGCAAGAAAATATATTAAGAGATAGGAATGATGGGAGTCATTGTTTCCATGGAATAAAATGGCTGCTTCTCAGATACACATGGCTTAAGTGACTTGGCCAAGAGCTCATCAAATTATCTAGACTGAAGCAGCCAGGAACCAAAATGTTCTCAATGGTTGAGGTAACTCGGGTTAAGGAACCAGGCCAAATGTTAAAGATGTGAAGGAGTCAACAATACACTTGTATTTGTATGTCATTCACCTCTACTGAGTTACAATTTAGTTTTTACCCCATTTGACCTTATTGTCATCCATGAAGCAGTGTCAACACGTTTTGTTGTGGCAAGAGTCCCATCACCACTAATATTAGCAGTATGACAGTTTCATTAGTCATTTAGGATTCTGTTATTTTTGGAAATATCTCATGACTTTTTTTAGAGTGACCCTGGATGTTCTCCATCTGGAAACTTAGTAAGCCCTAACACTTTTTTTTACTTGTCCCTAAGCAGAGAATCACTCTGGACCTTATATTGGGTTAAAAGAGTCACTAGCTGAATACAAATCTACCCTTTATTTTTACCTTACCATTCACCTGCTACTCACTAGTTGTCACCTGAAACTTCTGAAAGTCATGTCATTAGTTAGGAAGACTGCAATTAAAAAAATGTCCGTCATTTGCTGTATTATTGGTTGTTTGTTGCAGGAAATAGAAGGTTAATTAAAAGTATAAATGTTAGCATAAGAATAATTGAAAATGGTGCCTAGAATCTCTTTTTGGTGTATTTCAAAAGTTGCATTTTAATATGAATATATTATGGGGGGGGCAAAAGTCTAAATATATATTTGATTTAAATACTGCTTGTTACTTGCCATCCTGTTTCGGCCTCGTTCAGTTTGTTTTGTTTTGTAAATAATCCTTTGCAAATTATCACTCATTAACCTTTAGCACTTTGGCTGCTGTTTTATTTTTTGACCGGGTCAAACAAAATGATCATCTATGTGAGATCACAACATAAAAGTCACTAGTTCTCAAGCAAACTGGAAAGACAGCCTTTAGTGTTTCACTGTTGTGGTTGTACTCCCATGTCCTCCCACAGTTCAATGACATGCAGACTGGGGATTTGGTTATTTAGAGACTCTAAATTGACCAGAAATGTGAATGTGCACAACTGTTTGTCTTTGTATGTGGTCTTTGTTTTGGATTGCTGACTTATCAAGGGTGTGTTCTGGCTCTCACCAGATGTTAAGTCGGATTGGTTCCAGCAACCCCACAAAGTTTAACAGAGCAATGATAAAGATAATTTGATGAAATAAGGATCTAATACAAGCTTTTATTAAATTTGGGATTTAGATTTTTCCACTAAATGCAAAAGAGTGGGGATTCTGGTAATATGCAATGCAACAATTTTAGATGCAACCTTGAACTATACTTGTTGGGTCTGTTAATGATAACTTCTCTTTTACTTCAACCCATTACTTCACAGTTAAGACATAAAGATAAAAACAGAATACTATCAGTCGGTGCACACAAGGTTGGATATTTAGGAGGTCTCCATGCACAAATAAATACAAACATACTGGTTTCTTAAGGCTATTCTCATCACATTGCGATCAAAACCAGATTACTGATGTGCATGCAAACATCACAATGTGAACAGAAAATAAGAAAAGGAGTCAGAGGGGAAGGGAATGAGTAAAAGTGTCATAGGACCTCTGCAGATGGAGTGCAGGGCTGGTGGGGGACATGCCACACATGTTTAGAAAAGAAAGGAGAGAGGAGAAAAAAGTTTGGACAAGGTTTCACTTCTTTTTCAGAGAAGGAGAGAGGGAGATGGAGAGTGAAAGAAAAGCAGAAATGAGGGAGGGAAAGCAGAGTGGGTGTGTCTGCCTCCCTTTTGTCCCCTCCTTCCATTATAGAGGTTATAGATGCTGCAGCAGGAGCAGCTTGCTGCATCCAGACGCCTAGTCCAGTGAGCTGCACTAGTCCTGAGTTCCACCAGCTCAGAGAAGTAGTCCAGCCACTTCAAACCCAACATACAGCCCGAGCCCTGCAGCTGCAGCACCAACTGCACTTTCAACCTCTAAGGTTGCATGCTTATTTCTAAAGAGATCCTATCCTAGAAGCCTTTATTTTTGCAGACTCTGACAGAGATAATGAGGATGCAGCAGAACTCAAGGAGTTTTCAGGTCCTTCTCCTCATGGTCTTCATAGCTGGGATAGTTCTGTCAGGTCCCTCCACTCGACGCAGGAGCAGAGGTAGGTGACAAGCACTGTTAACTGGACAACTGGACGTATCAAGCGTTGCATCTGTTGCATGGACCAATGCAATTTATCAAATGTCAAGATTAAAATTATATATATATATATATATATATATATATATATATATATATATATTC